TCTCGAAATTATTCATATCAGGTTAGAAATAATTGTTATTTAATTTTTTCTTTTTTAATCTCTTCAAAATGATCAATCAATATGTTGTTCAATTAGTTAATATTTAATCAGCAATTACAATTGTATAACTGCAATTTATATATAATATTTTAATCACATATTTATAGTGTAGTTTTATTAAAGGAATTGCATAAAAATTGCATAGAYATTAGCATCGAATAATTACCAATTATTCTAATGAACTAATAAACTTTTTTTCTTTTTTAAATCGCAGTTAAATTTTACTCTCGAAATTATCCATATCAGGTTAGAAATAATTGTTGTTTAATTTTTTCTTTAAAATAAATACCTATTCTTACTTACGCGCCTATTAAAGATTATATTCACTTAACTACATCATAGTTTTCTTTTTTTGCGATCTTCGCAGTAAGACTACTTAAGAAAATAAGGAAAATTACAAATAGGAAAAAGCTTGCGTTATTATCGGAGGTGGAGAAGGGCAGATCGAATTACCTTCCATGGTGCTTCCATGTTTCTCCTCTTATATATTGCTTCACTGAGAGAGTAAAAGTCCAGCAGAGAGAAAGAGACAAAGAGAGGACTATATATATATATATATATATATAAATATATGTATAGAAAGAGTAAGAAAGAGAGAGAGAGAGAGTGATAAAGGGACGGGTTACAGGGGAAGAGTAATTTATTTGCAAAGTTCGATCGAACAACCATACCATACCATACGATACGATCCAATCGATCGATTGGTACTCGGTTATAACCGGCCAGCAAAATGAGATGAGTTGCATGATTCGGAGACGTTACAATGTACCTATTATTTCCTTCTCCTTTTGTAAAAGAAAAAACAAGACTAGGTGGAGACGAAAAGAAAGAGAGAGAGAGAGATAGAAGACATAGGTCATCGCTGCCATAAGTCGAAAAATTTACAGCTGTCGGCAGATGTAACGCGTTTCTTTCTAATTCTTTTCTCTCTCTGTCTCTCTCTTTCGTTTCTTCGTAGGGGATCCTCAAATTAGAAAGAATCATTTTACCAACTATTTAACGACTTTTCGTGCTACTCTTGTCCCCATCTGCTACACCCTCTTCATCATCCAGAGAACAAACTTTTTTTTCTTCTTCTTATTTTTATGGTTAGTGTCACGTGATCAATTATTCGAATATCCTAAGACATTATTGTCTGTTCACGATAACACTCGTTTTATCATATGCAAGATACTTATTCAATTATTGAAATATTAAATTGCACAAAGAAAAATTGTTATTATTAATATTAATTAAATATAATTTGAATATTAATAAAATTAAATTTGATAGTGTTTACTCTTGAATTTGAATATTATTATAATAATTTTCTGGTATTGATAATATTATAATTAAATTATTAATATAATCAATTTGATACTCTCATTAAGTTTGTGCGTATAATACTCGGTCAATATATTTCGTATTAACATATTAGTGATCGATCACATGGTCAATAATAATAATATATAATAATTTTACATAATAGTTAATATTTTCATACAATTTATAATCGCATTTGTTAGATTTCAATATATTATAATCGTTATCATCTATACAACATGTATAAGAAATATTTAACAACTTTTTATCAAAGGTTTCTTCACTTCAAAACGAAGAAAAGCTAAATCCTAAGAGTTTCTATATGTAACATACTATGAAGATTTGAAAAATCACGTAAATATTCGGTTATGGGAATCAATCAATTTGATTTGTATTAACAGGAGGCAGCAGCTCGAACAATCCGTATATTGCGAGTCCGAATCTCGGAGGAGTGCTGTGGAAGATGAAAGGCAAGATGTCCATGGCACCAATCAGGATAAGATAAAAGTAAGTCCCGACATGTGTGTTCTTTCTTTTTATTTTTTTTTTTTTTTAATATATGTCTATATATTTTTTTTTTCTTTTCTTATATCCTATTATTTGTTTTTCTCCGAAGCACATTCGCAAACAGAATCGTGTAGAATTTTATTATTCGCAGGCAACTACCACGCAAGATCTTTTTGAATTATTGGAAAGAGTTCAAAGTTCTCGATTGGACGATCAACGATGCGTATTGCCGCCATATTTCTCTCAGGTAAGTTACAATTAAATTATTTCTTAGAAATTGAAATTAAATTTCGGTAATTGATGTTAAATTATTTTAACCGTTACGTTTGTTTGTTTGTTTCTCTTGTTTCGTTCTTTTTTTTTTTTTTTTCTTTTTTTTCTTGCTTTCTTTTATTTGTTAACAAGCGAGTGAGAGTGAGAGAGAGAGAGAGAAAGGGAAAGTTAAACGACGATGACGTTTTAACGAAAGAATGTTTTAAAGGCAATTTAGAAATGACGCGATACCGGTGCCCGTATCTTTGAAATACACGTTTCCTTCCTTCGTTGATATCTAATTTTCTTGCATTTACAAAGTAAAAACGAGCTTCTGTCATTTTAAAGATATGCTACCTTTTTTTCTTTTTTTTTTTTTTTTTAACTCTTTGCAATCTTACGTGACATTTCGTTCATTCAATGTCACATTACGTTTCATTAAGAATTACATATGAACGAATCTAACTCGATAATGCAGATGCTTTAATTCTTTTAGAAATTTATCATTTTTCTATATATTATATCATCAAGAAATAATTTTTGGAAGTAGTATTATTTTATATTATAAAAAAAATATTATCTATAGAATATATTCTATAATATACTATATTTCAACTTTTAAGTATCAAAAAAAAAAACACGTATCACGTGTAGAGTCAATTAATTGTTTCAAATCTAAATTCTGTAATCCATGTTATTACTTTTCTTCATTTGAAATTACATTTATAATTATAAATATTTTGTTTACCAAAAAAAAAAGTGTTTATTATATGCATTTAAATGTAAAAAAATATGATTTTTGTTGTAAAAAAAAAAATCAATCATTTAATTAATTATAATATGAATAAAAAGAAATATATATTCTTGGTAAGAGATTGGTATTTAATATAAATATTTAATTAGCTATTAGAATATTAAAATAACGCCAACTCGGTGCAAGCAAGCTGTAAATGAAAAAACAAAAATAACTCGGACCGTAAAAGGGTTAATCGATTCTCAATTTTATCGTCTTAATTTGAATAAAAAAAGAGAAAGGAACGTCCGGTATGATAAAAACGTTTCGCGCGAATAAAAATCTTTATTGATTCGTTTGGAAAGGTATTGGTGGTGGTTGGTGTCAAAAGAAAGAACATTTAACATATTCCAGTGAAAAATGAATGATTTCCCTATGGAGAATGAAATATTATTTCGATTATTCACAAGATCAAAGTAACAACTTATGTATTCCAATAAAATATTCTATTTCTAAAAACGATTTTAAAATAATGCTTTACGAAAGATGGATGATGGAAAATATTGCAACAACTATTGTAATAATAATAATGTAATAGTAGTAGTAAAATAATTTAACGAAAAAGTCAGGCAAAAAAATAAATAAATAATGAAAGTAGAAAGCTTTTAAAAACAATCGTTTTATCAAACGTCGTACGAATTTATAAAACTGTCATCAACATGGTGGTGTGGCGTCTCTCAAAAGCTTTTGGTTTATCCTTTGGGAATCTAAAAGGGAAAAATTATGAGAGTCATTCGCTAAAAAGGGGGAAGGGGAATATCCTTTTCGAAATAAAATAATTCTTTCGCATTTTTCTCTATCAACGTTTACTACTCTCGCATTTCGGTGTTTGATCCATTCTCGGAGATTAATAAGAATAAGAATAATAATAATAATAATAATCGATTAAGCCGCAACGAGTGGTTCCTAGTTAACTTGTATTGACCCTATTGAATTTCTAAGCTAGATGATGATTCGACAAAAAAAAATTACCATGGGGTTCTTCGAGGAGAATCTTTTCATCGTTCTCGTCGATTACGATTGTATAAATGATAATAATAAAACTGAACCTCCTTCTAACGCGCGAATTCGTTTAACGTTTCACGCTTGTCGTTTTGTATGCGTTTCATCCCATTGGGAAACTAGAATGAAAGAATTAAGATAGATTATAGATCCATCTGCTTGATCTTTTGATTAATCGTACGATTATTTTGATATACGAATGTAAAAAGGGACGGGGACGACTTGGAAATGAAATTGTGGTATTCAGTATAATACTATTCTGTTTTTTCTCATCCGATTAAAAAGATCTGCATCCTCCCAATTTCTTATCGATGTTTCTCATCATCGTATCTATCCAAATACGAATCGTCGTCGTCGTCGTCGTCAACATCATCTGGCGAACACATGCGATACGTTTATTCATTCCTATGGGAAAATATTTTGCACTGGTTCGTGCAAATTTCTTGTAACGTTCTCTAATCGTTCATATGTGTAACAGATGGGAAGTTAGGAAGAATAAAACAATGTTTCGTAATTTATGAACATGAAGCACGAAACGAAATTATTACGTATCACACGCTATAAGATTTATGTTTAAATATTACATATTATATATGAGAAAGTTAATTTTTTTTTTTTTTTATGATTATTAGCTTTTCATCTTATACAACTAATTCTATAATATGTGAATAATACTTTCGCGTATACGAAATGAATGCATCAATTCTGAACAGTTCGAAAGTAATACATAAAATAATTCGTACCACTGTCGATAATGTAGATTTTTTCTGTATTAACATCAGTACCGATGTTGGTAAGTAGATTTCTTTGGTAACAGTTTTTATCGATCGTAGAGAGTTGTGTCGATAAAGAAGTAATTATATTTATCTACAGTCGTAATATAAACGTAGATACATTTTTCGAACGATGTTAAAATAGATATTTTCATCATCTACTATACCCGTTGTGAATTATCTTTTAACATAGATCGTGATTATCTTTTAATTTCGACAAAAAAAATGTTTCTTGATTATTTCAATCGTAAATAACAAATTTTGTAATAAAAATTGTCATCATTTTAATTAAAATATTATTATGTTTATTTTTCTTCTTTTTTGTTCTAAATAATTTAGAAAATTAATACGTTTACATATAATATATGTGTCTTTCAAAGATTTCCCATGTAATTTAGTAATTATTTTATTTCGTATAACTATGGAAACGGAAACCCACAAGGGAACATTTCGAAACCATATACGATGGTATGTAAAATAATGCGATATGATGCACAAACGAACCTCAGGATGTAAGGTAGAAAGGGAAGCCACTTCCGGTCGCGGACAGGTAAGCTCACCGGAAGTGCTGCTTGAACTGCCACGGTCAACCGTCATGCTATGGCTTTAACCGAACGGTCAAAACGAAAGATTTTCAGAGATTCGTTGTCTTCTGTTCAGTACCCATGAAGATCGTAGATCTCATTATGGTAGGACGGTCATGGTTAACAAAAAATACTAACTCCCATAAGTTCTTTTCATTCTCGGCATTAAATCAGTTCGAAATTTATCGCGTGTATCCGTTGGTTTCTTTTTTTTTTTTTTTTTTTAATAATCATGATGTGTTGCAAAAGGGATGTTATATATCTACGAATGCGAGACCGAGCTGTAGAAATATAAACAAATACGTTACTGATTGTTTTTAACCGACTGACTGACTTCACAGAACCGTTTAAGTAAACACATTCGATTTATATTAACTTAAAAGACATTCGTTCCGTGACTGTTAACGAAGTAAGACCTCTTTCTTAATTTTTTTATTATTATTTCTCATATTTAATATAACATTTATTGCAACATACAAACGTGTAAATTTCTTGCTGAAAAAATATATCCTCACAATAATTAATTTATTTAATATAGAAAAACCATTATTTTTCTCGTTTTTTTTTTCGATATCACACACACAGAGACAAGTGACTTTTTATATTTTTATTTATTCTTGATAACGAAAAAAGTACAGCACGATTTTGTAAGATAAAGAGGTGGAATTAAATTTGATATCGGAACGACAATTTATAGTTGTCTGGTCCGTCGTAACGAAAGATATCGATGCATGATGCATGTCCCCCCCCCCCACCACCCCCCACTCAGCAAGCATAATACATGTATATATATTCTCGATAGTAATATAAACGCTCGCGACAGGGTGCCAGAGTTGGTGTGCAGCTGCTGCTACTCTTTCGGTTGTTATCTCTAAGCTTAAATTCCGCTGAAACAAACAAACTCTTAGCGTAACGTACGTAGAAATATCGATAGGAGACGGTTAATCCACCATGATGGTAATTTCGATAGCACAAAGCTCTACGAGTTTTCCTCGTTCGTTGTTCTTATTCTAGAAATTTACTACTGAAAAAGAATATTTATCAAAAGTAAGAGTAAAAGATTATTTGTTTTACACATAAAAGTAATATAAATTTGTTTGTAAATTATATTATTTTAAATTATATTTAATTAATGGTAATTAATGAAGTATGAGAAGTATAGTAAAGTAAATTTACATTCAATAAAAAAAAAAGAAAAATAATTTCCTGCGTTTGCATACGAAGTTGAATAAAAAGGAAAACAAGAAATGAAATAAAGAAAAATGAAAGAAAGTTTATACCTGGTTGTACCACTTGTCGTTTTAATGGACAACCGACGACGTTTCGTAAATTACCGAAGATACAAGTTAATACACCGAGTGAAGATAGCGATCATTAGGTAGAAACAAGATTAACCTTTTGCGAAAGCCAAGAGAAGCGAACAAAGCAGAATAAGAAGGAAAGGAGAAAGGGGTAGGGAAGGGAAGGGAAGGGAAAGGTAAGGGAAAGGTGATCTCTAACGCAAAACACATGCATACACAGGTGAATACATATACACGCGTATGTGTTCGTTACGGTGGAGAAATTGCCTGTTCTCGGTTAAACCATCGATGTTTTCGGACGCAGGAAGTTGTGTAAAATAATAAAAGGAGGTGGACACAAAGGAACGGGAAGGAAGACTCGACGTACCGGAGAACGAAATAAGTCGAGCAAGAAACGACATCCGCTCTCCTGTGAGCTAGCTAGCAAGTCGTTGTTGTTGTTGTTCTCATAGTAGTCATAGGTTGTATTGTATAGAAATACTAAAGTAACCCGGATCCCGTTCTCTCCCTCTTCTCTTCTTCTATTACCTGTCGTTATCTTC